CACATACATGCACAAACATGGTGCAGTGGATGATGTGTGTCATTTAGTCAGTCAGGTAAAGCACTGATGAGTCTAGCTAGCACTGGATGGGAGACCTCTCAGACAGCATAGACCTTCGTTAGGAAAATGACATACGGCTATTGCTTCCTGTTTCAATAATGGTATATTGTACTGTATTATACCTTACATGTACAATACATCACACACACACACACACACACACACACACACACACACACACACACAAGTGCACATGCAGAAGCTCCCTGACGTTACTACTATATATTAATATAGTGCCAAACTACTAGGTGCCATCAGTTGGGGGAGCTCTTATTGTCCTACCAGGAACCACGAGCCAGAACCTGGCCTTGCGCTCCTTCAGCAGCGCACGGAGCAGTGGCTCTATGAAATTTTATTATTTGTAAATTTATTAATGTCAGCCACCACTAAGGGAAGGCACAGAGTAAGTCAGCGAAATAAAACAGACCACTGATTAGTTAGAAATGAGACCACAGCCTCAAAACAGCGAAAAGAACTCCCCCAAACAATGTAAACAAATGATAAAAAATTTGTAAAAATAGTGTAAGCTACACCCCACCTCTACTCCTTGCCTAGGAGTGGAAAGAGGGAGGCAGACCAGGTCAGTCGGCTGCTCCACCATCTTATGATGATGGAAACCACTCCGACACCCTAGGGGTGGGAGGTTATCTTCTTGAGGTTATCTTGAGATGATTTCGGGACTTAGCGTCCCCACGGCCCTGTCCTCAACCAGGCCTCCTTTTTGTTACATACCCCCAGGAAGCAACCCGTAGCAGCTGTCTAACTCCCAGATACCTATTTACTGCTAGGTAACAGGGGCATCAGGGTGAAAGAAACATTTTGCCCATTTGTCTCTGCCTCCGCTGGGGATCGAACCCGGAACCTCAGGACTACAAATCCGAAGCGCTGTCCACCCAGCTGTCAGGGGCCAGAGTATCAGAGTCACCAGGGCTCGCCTAGAAATTGGTGTTTCATTACATTCAACACAAGTTTTCTGGGGTGAGCCCCTTGTGTCTCCCTGAAGCTATCTATTCACAGAGAAGAAAAAACAAAACACACACCAGGGAGGAGGAAGCATCACACGAATCAAAGACCAACGGCCACAACACACACGAAAAGTCACACAAGATGGCAGAGGACTGGGAACAATCACGATATCTGGCTGCCAAGATCCTGTTCGACCATCAAAATTCAACCAGTTCTGTGCAAGCTGGAATCCCCGAATGCAAGCTGGAGTGGCTCCGGTAATGCTGCAAGATAAGAAGTGACAGTATTCGGCAGAAGATACCGGTCCAGGAAAACTGAGAAAAAAAGACAGAACAATCCACTCAGAAATAGAAGAGCAAAGACGAAGGGACAGAAAATGGCGGAAAGTACCAAGAACAGTTGGGTACAGTTGCCGGGAAGAAGACAGCAGGTAGGACTTTTTTAAATATGCCACTTGAAATTATAGATGGTGATAGATATGCGTAAAAAAATCCAGATACGAAGAGCAGAGAAGCTTGAACCAGCGAAATACGTCACCAGCACGACCTGCTGAACAAAGCGGACCTGTGGAAAACTATGCCAAACTACTAGTGCTTAGTAGTTTGGCACTATATCAGTATAGTAGCGTCAAGGAGCCACAAGGAGCTCCCCTCCTCCCCAGAAAATATTAGAAAGTTCAGTTTTGCAAACAGAGTGGTAGACAGTTAGAAGAAGTTAAGTGAGGTGGTGGTGGAGGCCAAAACCTGTCAGTAGTTTCAAAGTGTCATACGACAAAGAGTATTGGGAAGAAGGGACACCACGAGCGTAACTCTCATCCTCTAACTACACTGAAGTAATTGCACTCACATACAGTACATCATACATACACACACATGCTCTTTCTCTGCAACTGGGGTACTATGTTTTATCTTTGGTGTATCTGGGCCTAATAATCTGTTTAGAAACCAAGAAATTCTCCATTCAATAACTGTGGCAGTTTCTATTCTGTCCCCTTTATTTGGCATTGTGAAATTCTAAAATGATACATTCAACATTTATTTTTAATTCGTACTGGATGGGCTGGACAGTACAGCAACGGTCTCACTTCATGCAGGTCGGCATTCAATCCAAGTGGTTGGGCACCATTCCTTTCCCCTGCCTCATCCCAAATCCTTATCCTAATCTCTTCCAAGTGCTATATAGTTGAAATAGTTTGGCTCTTTCTCCTGATAATTTCCCTCCTCCCCTCCCTCGTATGATATATTACTCATTAACACTCATACTAGATAACACAGTACTGTATTATACTTTGACTGTGACATTGTTTTTTCAGCCCTATTCCTTCAGAGGGTCCAAATGCAGCCAATAAACACAATTTTTGAAATTTACGTGTTTATTACTACATATCTAGTTCGAGAAAAATCTGATCATCTAATGATGAAAAAATTCTAAACCAATTTAATTTTAGCTATTTGAGTACAGTACACTATAAATTATCTAATATAAAATATATTCCAAGTAATGGATATGTGTTTGCAAGACATATAATACTGTTACACATACAACTAGTAATCATAATTGAAAAAATCTGGGGAAATCCCCCAAAAATGTTGAGCTGTACAACTAAGCCTTGAGATGCACCAGGCCTCTGAGGCCATCCCTTGCCTACCAGAACCTGGGTCTGCCTACGAGGCAGGGGAAACTTACGGATCAGAGATCAACCCATAACAGAGAAAAAAATCTTCCAGAAAGCACTAGCGCAACTAAATAAACCATTGCTTGAAGAAATTTATGTATCCTCGGATAGCAAGGAAAATAATAAAGTAAATCAACTCTCACATATGAAATGAAAGGAACGTTTTGCATTCCTGGCGTTTCGCGAGCGATTTGTCCTGGGTTCGTATCCAGGCCGGGGAGGATTTACTGGGTGTCAATCCTTAACTGTAGCCTCTGTTCACCCAGCAGTGAATGAGTACCTGGTTGTTAAATGATTTAGCGGGTTGTATTCCGGGGAAAATTAGGATTAAGGACTTACCCGAAATGCTATGCGTGCTAGTGGCTGTACAAGAATGTAAGAACTCGTGTATATAAAAAATAAAAATAACAATAAAATATAAATAAATAAAGCTAAGTGATGACAATTTGGTCTGTCCTGGAGTCTTCCCATGTTGTGATCATCAATAAGAGTCCAGGACAGACCAAAAGGGTGCCCCTTTCATTTCATATCCCATGTGTGGGTTGGTTTATTTGTTTGAGCCACATTATTGCGACTTATTCTCTGCATCAGGCAAACATCCGATGCCGCTGTATAAACATCCCCATTGTGAAGTACCTGACTACCACCTGATGGCAGCCTACATCACTCAGGGTCCTAGTCAACCCACACCACCTTGGGTCCCTACAGCCTGCCCACTCATGCATGATCCACCCAAAACAAACCTCCTCCTCCCCACAGGAAAGAACTTTCAACGAAAAAATATATTTTTTCGTTCTTTCAAGAATGAAACAATGATGACAATATTGAAGCCTAATAATATATTGAATTTAACCCAATGCTTTGTATTGGCATAAGCATAATGTTTTCAGTTCAGTGTTTCAATGGTAATATTTTGTAATAATTAAAATGTAGAGTAGTTTCATCAATACCTGCACTGTATTTTTATTATAGTCTATGGATATAATAAACTGTTTTCAATAACCGAATAGTAACATTTTAGTCAATATATCAAAGTTGCTCCAGCTGATTCTTCTAATATAGTCTAGTACAGTGGAACCTCGACTTACAAATGCCCCTATTTACGAATTTTTTGAATTACGACCCCAATTTGTTCAGAAAATGTGACTCGACTTACGACCTTTGCCTTGACTAGCGATTTTGTTGATACACGTATGGGTTGACAGAGCGCGTCGTTCCTGGTGGCACGGGCAACCCCGCCTCAGTTTACCAGAGCTGCCCACTGAGTGACGATCACACTTGTAAAGAATTTTATTGTTTTTGAGCTTTTTTTGTGCTTTTAACATAAAAGTAATTATTATATACCAAGCCATGGATCCCAAGAAAGTCAGCGGTAAGGTTCAACCTAAGAAAATAGTTGTGAGTAGAGGCAGAAGAGAATTTCCCTTCCTCATTAAAAAAATGTGTGAAGTATGGGGAGAACTGCAAAGTTTTGCTGAAAAAACACACCCAGAAAAAGCTGTAGCAGACCGTTACATTGACCTTTTAAATGACAATATGATGTCTCACTACAGACAAGTGTAAAAATGTAGGGGAAAAACAAGTGTCTTTAGACAGATTCTTAGTAAGACAAGCAAGCAGTGAGCCACAACCAGGTTCTAGTGGTATGCCTGCAAAACGTAAGAGAGAGAGAGTACCCCAGCCTGATGTTATAATGAAAGGGGACTCCCCTTCCAAACAGTAACACCTCTTCTCACCCCTTCCTCACTGTCTTTCATACGCCAACAAGAGTTCTCAATAGAATATTTTTTTGGGGAATGGATTAATTCAATTTACATTATTTCTTATGGGAAAATTTGTTTCGAGATACGAATTTTCGAGTTACAACCCATCTCTGGCAATGGATTAAATTCGTTAGTGGAGGTACCACTGTATTAACAAAATATTGAGGCTCTATGATGGGATCAAACCCGCATTCTTGGACTTCCTAGGTATTTTTGTGTATATTTTATCTAGGTATATTGGGTAAAAATACACAATCTTTTCTTACACTGTATACTGAATAATTAACCCCTTAGAGCATAATCGTTTCAGCTACAATACCCTGGAGATCAATGACGACAATAACCGCACTTTAAGGGTCAAGGGATAACTCAAACACATCCACTTCAGCACAAATACAAAAACCCCACGTATAATATAGTAACCCCCATTCTAACAACACTGTCTCACTGGTAAAGGGATATACAACATGTGTGTGTAGCAACAAGGTGCCCTCCTCATCTACCATGCCTACGCAGCGATGCCACACCAGTAATACCTTCTGGTTCTGTTGAGCACGCTGCTGGCTGATTTCCGTGAGCCCCTTCTGAAGGGAGCTCAGTTCACTTTGAAGATCTAGCAAGTCAGCAATAGCCCCCCCGGCCCCACTTGTCAGACTGGCACTCACTATTCCGCTGTCCCCATTGCTGCCGAACAGCCCGCCAAATGAAGACTCCTGTGGAAGAAAGGCAAATTTGTTTTGTGAGAGGTCCAATGCACACCTCTTTTGATATTTCATTAACACAATTAATAAAAAAAAATTTGTGCTCCCCTTTCAAAGTCATTATATATATATATATATATATATATATATATATATATATATATATATATATATATATATATATATATATATATATATATATATATATATATATATATATATATATATATATATATATATATATATATATATATATATATATATATATATGTCGTACCTAGTAGCCAGAACGCACTTCTCAGCCTACTATGCAAGGCCCGATTTGCCTAATAGGCCAAGTTTTCATGAATTAATTGTTTTTCGACTACCTAACCTACCTAACCTAACCTATAAAGATAGGTTAGGTTAGGTTAGGTAGGGTTGGTTAGGTTCGGTCATATATCTACGTTAATTTTAACTCCAATAAAAAAAAAATGACCTCATACATAATGAAATGGGTAGCTTTATCATTTCATAAGAAAAAAATTAGAGAAAATATATTAATTCATGAAAACTTGGCTTATTAGGCAAATCGGGCCTTGCATAGTAGGCTGAGACGTGCGTTCTGGCTACTAGGTACGACATTATATATATATATATATATATATATATATATATATATATATATATATATATATATATATATATATATATATATATATATATAAATAAAGTGCTGTAGTGAACTGTAATGCTCATAATACTGTAGTGAATATATTTACCAATTCAAATAAACAAATCCAAGTAAAGAAATTAAATTTTTATATAAAGTGACAGTTTTGGTGATAGTTGCATTTTAAAACTTAAAGGAATAAAAATAAATACCTGTATGAAACAAAGCCCAATACACAAAAGCCTTTAACGCTAACTTAAATACCAACGACCATGTGGTTATACTGGTGTTTATATTAAGCACCAGCAAAAACACAAACATAAGCATGAAATCAAAATATACTTAAACACCAACATAAATACCATCATAAACATCAGTATAAGTAACAACATGAACATTCATTATTTAGGTTTTCTTAAACAAGTTGGTCAAACACTATTTCACACATGCAGTTCACGCACTGTATTTGAAGTATACTCTAAGAGATAATATTTGGTAAATGCTTAAATCTAGTTTGATCTCTCCTTAATATTACATATTTAATAGAGGATTTCTACATTCTGATTTGGCTATTGTAAATGTGAAGCAGCTACTAACGATTTGCACCAGGTAGAAATGATGTGAGTAAAGAAGGCAATGTGCCCGCAGCAAGAATGAGGGGGTTACCTGCCCCTTGCAAAAATGGGGGGGGTGCCTGCCTGCAGAAAGAATAGGGTGGGGGTGCCTGCCCTCAGCAAGAATGGGGGGATGCCTGCCCTCTGCTAGAATGGGGGGAATGCCTGCCCTCTGCAAGAATGGGGGGATGCCTGCCCTTTGCAAGAATGGGGTTATATCTTGAGAGAGCCGAGGTTATCTTGCCTGCCCTCAATAAGTATGCAGGGCGACTGCCCTCAGCAAGAATGGAGCGAGACTGCCCTCAGCAAGGATGAAGAGTGTCTTCAGCAAGCATAATTAATAAAGTAAAAAGGATTTAATATGAAAAGACAACAAGGCACATGCAAATAAAACAAGACATAACAAAAGGGAAAACCGTATAGAAAGAGAATACAAGATACAATACAGAGAAATTGAGCAGACCATGAGGCAACTCTACTGTGAGAGCACAGGTCAAGAATCGAACCATCAATGTGGCAAGGGGGGCACGTCTATTACCTATCCCTCCCCCCAAGGTAGTGGTGCTATGGATGACCAACCAAACTACAGTGCAGTACTATATTTAGAGAAAATGCTGAGGCAGTATGATGGGATCAAACCCATGTCCCTGAGCTCCTCAGGCACACACACTAACAACTAGCATGTAAGCCTGGAGAGTTAAGAGACGAGGGTTTGGTCCCATCACACCACTTCACTATTTTCTCAGATATTTCATTATGTACTATATTTATTATGTATGAGTAAGCACTAATTAATACCTTTCAAATATTTCAGTGGTCTGCATGATAAAAATAACTAGCATCACAATATAACATTGTAATTCCAAAATTATCCAATGGATTTTCAGTACATTTGCAGTAACGTATAAACTTGATGTGTTATCAGTGATATGACTCATATGACATTCAACATGACAGGTAACTTTACTGATTTACTTGCCATGTTAGAAACAGGTTTTTCAAGACTAGTCTCAAAACAAGCATACTTGTCAACTTGAGAATAAAGTACATCAATGTAGCCAGCCGCCTACTATGTGAGAGCGATATTTCTAAATATCATTATGAATAATACTGCATAATATTATGTTCTTGTTTGCATGCATCATTGTAGCCTACCATTTACTTTTGATATCTAATTATTCATTGTGTCAGAGGACTGGAAGCCAAAGTGTATTCATACACTTTAGGCTTATATTGAAGTCCCCCCCTCCCAGGTCAAATTATTGACCCTGCCCAGGATGCAAACCCACAACAAGCTGACTAACTCCTGAGAACCTACTTATTGCTAGGTGAACAGCCCATTAGGTGAAAGGAAATGTGCCCAACCATTTCTGTTCCGTCTGGGACATATTGCACCTTGTGTGCTTACTCTGTTGTATAGCTATGTTAGATGCTGGCATCTAGCAGTTCGAGCTACTAATCCTGGTTAGTATGATTGTGTTTTCATGTAAGCTGTTATTTCAATAATAGGATAATTGTAATGAGTCAAGTAAAACCTGATGTAGCAGCCAAGTCTTTCCTTTCATACACAATAATTACAGTGGGATTGAGTAAATAATTAAATTATGCATCCCAAAACTGTAAATACATCAGGAGCAAATTCTAATTCAGCAACTGTAAATACGAACGTAATACAAAAGGAATGTTACTGGGGTTTTAACAGAACACACACACACGTACAAATACACACACACACACACACACATATACACATACAAATACACAAACACACAAATACACACACACGCACTCCACAAAACAACACAACTTGCACAAGAAACCAACAATCCAGGACTCACCCTGAACTCCCCTCTGTCTCTCCCCTCTTCCAGTTGTGACCTGGCCTTCTCTATTTCTTTCTTCTTCAGTTCAAACACAACCTATGAAAAAACAGAGCAAATGCAATCTCTAAGGTAATCAACCACAAACCAACTATTCTGAACACAGTTTCATTGAAAAATACAAATTACTACTTGAAATAATTTAGTGAGTACCCAATGAACTATCAAGGGCTTTATATACATATACTAACCTTGATATATGAGAAAGTTATCACTTATGATCATCAGTTACAATTTTGTTACGTGGATATTATACCGATATAAAAACAACTGATGTTAACTTCCTCTGCATGAGCAATCCCAAGCAAATTTGTGCATCATTAGGATTTACAACCAACAAGAGTAAAAGCAAAATGAATGGTTATTGAATGAACTGGCTGTGTCTGTGATTTAACATACTGTATATACTTTAATCAAGTCTTAAGAACCTCTCTGGTTCTTAAAACTAGAGGCTGGCTCTGGAAGAACCTCTCCGAAGACTGGAAATTCGTCCTTATTTTGTCATAGTTCTGCTTGTTTACCACTTCCAAAAGCTTTCTGGTTCCCTCACCTGACTGATAGTTTCTAATATTCAGCTATTCTCCTCTTTACAATACATTGTCTTTTTTTCATTATTTTCCCACAGCTAATACTGTATCCCCATTACGTCTTACCACTTCCGCTACAAGCTTAGCCATTCCCTTCACGCTTATGGATCACTATGCAGCTCTATCTTTATTTACTCATTCCTCCTAATTCTATATAAAGCTATTAGAAACATCCACTTGATCTCTTCCTTTATTTACTCATTCCTCCTAATTCTATATAAAGCTATTAGAAACATACATTTGAACTGATTTCACTGATGTGGCCTTAATGCTATTGGCCACATTTAAGTACTGTATATATTTAAGCAGAATAAAGTATAAGATTCAATAGACCAAATGCACGCAGAAGCACTACCACGAGAAAAATAAAAAGAGGAACACCTTATCCGCCACTGATGATTGCTCACACTGGTTATACTCACCCCTGTATTGCCAATTGGTGATCTGCTCAATTTTCTCTCTCTGCCATTAGTTTTAATAGCTTTCTCATTACATTTTTTGCCCTTTACTTTGCCTAATTTCATGCAAATGGTAACTACATTGTTTTTACAGTAGCCAAACCAGCATGCAGATTTATTGAAAATGTTTCAGGTGCTCCATAACTTTTTGTTAATACCTGAAGTAGTATGAAATGTCTTGCATAAAATTCAAAATGTGGCTACCTCCATTAGGATGGGCACTTACAGAAGGAATAAGGAATCCAACATATAGATAAGTAAATTAATATGTGCAAACATTGCTTTGCCTAGTAAAAATATGCGTGTGTGTGTTTGTGTATATATGAATGGAATAAAAGGCCTCATTCTGAACAGTATCTTCGTAGCTTACCTAGCCTATGGTACTGTCCACTAAAGAAGATTATCATATAAAGCACTGGAAATCTTCCATATCCATTGTGGAAAAGAACCTTTGCAAATTCTTGTTTCCCTAATGGGGCAAAGAGCTTGTGGAAATTAGAGATCAATAATACAACCAATGAAAACTGCCTATAATAACAGAGTAATATACAAAACACCACCACCTGACTACCATGGCTCCACTTCCAGGAATCTTGAAAGACAGGTCAAAGTGTGGGCATGGGCGCCTGACAGCTGAGTGGACAGCACTTCGGATTCGTAGTGCTGAGGTTCCGGGTTTGATTCCCAGTGGAGGCGGAGACAAATGGGCAAAATGTTTCTTTCACCCTAATGCCCCTGTTACCTAGCAGTAAATAGGTACCTTATATAGGTTAGACAGCTGCTACGGGCTGCTTCCTGGGGGGTTGTGTAACAAAAAGGAGGCCTGGTCGAGGACAGGGCCACGGGGACGCTAGACCCGGAAATCATCTCAAGATAACCTCAAGATAAGATGGGAAGCTACCAGAAATAAACACTTCATAACATAAGGGTTAGGTTAAACAAACATATTAACAATTGTAATAGGTATACTGTCAAGCATAGACAATCCCAAGCAGGGACGGTGGACTTCACTACACACCGAATGCTCTACTTATGGACATCTACCGTGGTAGCCTCTATAGCTTCGTTCCCCCTGGTGCTATAATAAGTTATGCATCAAGAAACTAGCAGCCAGGGGGCCAGATTCACGAAAGCACTTACCCAAGCACTTACGAACCTGTACATTTTTTCTCAATCTTTGGCGGCATTGTTTCCAATTATTAAACAGTTAATGAGCTCCAAAGCACCAGGAGGCTTTTTATAACAATAACAACAGTTGAATAGGAAGTTTTCATGCTTGTAAACTGTTTAATAAATGTAAACAAAGCCGTCAAAGATTGAGGAAAGATGTACACGTTCGTAAGAGCTTGAGTAAGTGCTTTCGTGAATCTGGCCCCAGGAACGGATGATCATAGAGTCATAGAGTGGGGGGGGGGAGACGATGGTGGGGACACTCAGATTGAGGTGAAATGTCCAAGCCAGACTCTGTATCAACATGAAGTGGAACTCTAGGAAATATCCACAACAGCCCATAATGTCTTGGAACTTGGAACATAACAAACCAGACTAACATTAGGAGGACTGTTGATTAGGATTGGGAAACCAACCAGTTGCTGAGTATAAGCAGTGGAGAGTGGCTCTGCAAGAGAGGCAGCCTAAGAAGAAAAAATGTGAAACAGACTGATAAACAGCCTGTGTATCCAAAAATGTCCCAGAGAAAAGGACCCCAAAATAATAACAGGTGAATGTGACCCAAAACAATAGGTGCAATGTGACCCAAAACAATAGGTGCAATGTGACCAATGTGTGTACCACTAAAGCTACAACCCTCAAAAGCCAGAGAAAATTGCACTTTTTAGTCTTCCCTTGATTTTAGTAACTAGAATCTACCAAAAACTTTATTGCTTAAAATCTGTGATATATATAAACTTGTACTATAAAGTAATTTACATTATTATATGAAATGAATTGTGATATTAGAATGGCACACTATTTAACTGGGGTATAGTCAAATTATACACAAGACGTGTCAACAAAGTTTGTTATCCAATTGTCAAAAGCATACATAATGTTAGGTTAGGATGTATTAATTTGGATTAAGCTGTGTTAGGCTTGGTTGGGTTTGGTAAGTAAATAATTATAAAAAAGAACAAAGCAAGGAAAACTATGTAATATCAGGTTGGGTAAGGCTAAATAGGTTTTATAAGTCATTGGCAAACCGTCTTGTGTATGATATGCCTTACATCCATGTAACTCTTTTAGTGCAATAACAAAGCACAAGCTAATACTCTTACCTGGAACAGATCCCGCATGGCTATTACCACCTGGCTTGCCGCTTTCTCAGTTTTGATACCGAAAAATTTGTGACCCGCATCAGGGGAGCCGAAGATATAACCAAAAGCTCTAGTGTCTGTCATATCCTGGGCAATGAAGGAGATTTTGTGCACTGGATGGTGGTACAGGCAGTCCTGAAGAGAAAGTAATGGTATGAATTTTTTTTTATTATAACTCATTTTTATGATGGGTATATCATTTAATTCATTAAAAAAAATTCACGGAAGGATGAACAGTTTCAACTGTATTATATTAAAACAGTGAAGGTTCTTAAGCAGTGTGAAAAGCTAACAATTATTTAGAATAATTCTGAAAAATAAATGTTTGTTGTGCAAGGAAGAATAGAAAGTGAATCTATGTCAAGATTACTGGAGTAGGAGTGATTAAAACATGAGGAGTAAGGGAGCACGTTTGTTTACGCATGAAAAGTAAAATGGGGCAATAAGTGACTCCTTGTGGCTTGGCTGAAGGTGCTGTTGTGGGAAACTCAAGTCTGCTAAGGCCAAACTGAACTTATGATTGCACAGCTCATGAATTCTGTGATGACAGGAGTGTGAAAAAGGATGTTGACCAAACCACACACTAGAAAGTGAAGGGACGACGACGTTTCGGTCCGTCCTGGACCATTCTCAAGTCGATTCACAATCGACTTGAGAATGGTCCAGGACGGACCGAAAACGTCGTCGTCCCTTCACTTTCTAGTGTGAGGTTTGGTCAACATATTTCAGCCACGTTATTGTGACTCTTCGTCTGCACGTGAAAAAGGATTTTTATTGTGATATAAGGGAGTTACAGTAATTCTGAATGGTAAAAAGAATAGATTCTGAGAATGATGTACATACAGGGATGAGTATGATAGACCATAAAATATCTATATTAATAACAAGTAAAGTAGGGCAATGGATATTCAATATCCTGTCAAACAGAATGCAGAGTAACAGTTAATCAAACAAGATCAAGTGCAAGCACAGTGAAAAGCTCTGTACTGTACTGCAGGGCTCAGTCCCTTCACCATTTTTTTTCTTTCTTATATCAGATATAGACAAAAATACAAGTCACAGCTTCATGTCATCCTTTGTCAAAGATACAAAACTCAGTATGAAGATTACTTCTGTTGAAGACATTGAAAAGCTCCAAGCTGATATCAACAAAATATCATATCATGAAATTGTACAATAACTCAAACCTCAAGAAAAAAAATTAGCATTGTGGGGAGAAATGTTACTTACACTAGATCTTTCATCTCGCAATCTAATTCCATCCATGGCTACGTTGATGACAATCCTCTGTTTGTGTTCTCCAGCAGCACGAACAGCCATCTTAAGTTCTGCCAGCGCCTCTTGGCACATGCGGTCACCACGAGCTTCAGAGACTTCTAACACTCCAATTAGCTTGCCCTTAAAGCTCATCCCCTCCACAAACCGATGGGGATCATTTTTCTCTTGCCCCCCCTGGCGGTCTGTATGGAAAGAATTTTGGTTAGTGTAAACAGTACTTTAGTTAAAAGATTAATCACATTAATGTGAGTTTTGTATAAATTATATATATAATTTTTATCATGTATGATGTGGGGAATTATCCCAAGCCACTGAGATATTGCAGTAATATTAAGTGGTCCTCAACACAGTGATACAGAGCCACCACAAGCCATAGCTGGAGAGGGTTTCGGGAGTTCTTCTACTCCCCGAGCCCGGCCTGAGGCCAGGCTCGACTATGCAATTTTGTGTGTGCAGAACCACACAAACAATCACATATCTCAGCAAATGGAATATGCTTTAACAATCAAATAACATTACATTTCTTTCTGCTCAAGACAGAGCCCATCACAAATTATATCCTCCTATTAATCATTTAATTAAATTATTAATTAACATTGAGTTAATGTTATATATACTGAATATCATGTAAATAGCTATCAGAATGTAATATAAAGACAACAATGTACATATTGTCATATGTACAATGTACATACGACAACAATTGTGTTGTATGCAATTAAAATGTAATCATTCAGTCAAAATCACTTAAATCTTTACAGTTATTTAATATCATATTATACGGTAGTCATCAATCCTTACTAATGTACATGGGGAATACTGTAATACAAAATAAGCTTATAAAAACATGATAATACGTTACTTAATAAAATATTAGTTTATAAATCCAATAAGTTTATGATCAGTCATCAGTATGACAGCAGCAGTTTATCTGCTAGAAAAAACGTCTCACTCACAGAGATAAACAGCAGAACATCAGTATTCAATTTATATCCTCCTATTAATCATTTAATTAAATTATTAATTAACATTGAGTTAATGTTATATATACTGAATATCATGTAAATAGCTATCAGAATGTAATATAACTAAGAGTAGGAATGCTCTCCATACAAAAATGGATATGCATGTTAATACTACTGTATATAGTATATCACTACAGTAAAGTCTATACTACTGAGGACGGGATTTGTGGTTTCATTTGCATTATTAACATATCTCTGTCTTTACAATGCCTCCTCCTAAAATAATTGTACTTATGGCAACTATTGGCTTGAATGCATCAATACATACTGTTGAACCCAAAATGTTTACTTCTTGTACCATTCATTTTGCAGTCTGAGAAGAAAAGCTAACTAAACTTCAACATATTAGGTCTAAGATAGTATGAATTAGCCCTAGTATCGAATGGATAGGTTAAGTTAGGTTATTTAGTTACATTTCTGATTTAATAGAATGCAATTTAGGCTAATCCAATAATACGAAACATGAACTTTTGGGGGGTCCAACACTACATATTGGTACATCTGACCAAATAGTTGTAGTATATTTGTAATATCGAACCTGTAACTACTCATTAAAAACTAATGAAATTAATTCACTAAGTAATAATTGTTGATGCAGAGTACTATACTGATCTTGCATCCTCAAAAGCAAATGAGTTGAGGATGGAGCATACCTGGAGTGGGTTTCGGGAGTTCTTCCACTCACCGAGCCCGGCCAGAAGCCAAGCTCGACCATTGATTGAGGATAATTATCATTACATCAATATCTGATTAAACATGCACTGTTGTATACTTTTATGGGCTAACAGGCCCATAAAAATATGCAACAATGGCCACTGATTATGGGCCAATTATCTTTCATTTTCTAATACTGTACAATGTACTGGGTAAAAACACTTGGATGCAAGAGAGCAACTAGATATGAATGTAAGGAAAGTATCCATGGAACCTGTAGTATATCTAGGTTTCAGTTTTTTGTTATGCATTTTAGACTTCCAATAGTAGACTTTTGTTTTGCAGTACGTCCATGTTTTGTACATGCCATCCATAGTGGCTATAGGCCTTATCATTTTTGGTGGATGCGCAGTACATTTATATCCGAGGCAGACAGTATGTACCCACCTAACTGTGCTGGCGGGAGGTTGAGCTTTGGCTCTTTGATTCTACCTCTCAACTGTCAATGTGTGAGTGAAAGAAATTGCATGTACAGTATGTATTCCAGTTACTTAAATTTGTAAAATTATCAGCTTAAATGTCCATAAACAATGCTTAAAATTTTGTATTTTTAGTCATACTGTACTAGAGTCTTGAAAAACCCACAAAACTGATAGTGTAACAGTACTGTACAATTTTATTTTTATTAATACATTAGGTACATATGCATTTGTTCTGCTACCCTAGACTATATGAAGGGGGAGTAGTGTTAAAAAACTAGCTATGTGATGCTAAAAAATACCCATTACACAGGATGGTTAGTCATACAGAGGCATGTGATAAGTAGTCTGCACTGGCAGACTCCTGGTGCATTATGAGGATATCATGAACACAAGAATGAATAAGGTAGCAATGATACTAAAAGTCCCCATCTCGCAGGATGGTTAGTCATACAGGGCCATATGTTCAGTAGCCTGCATTGGCAAATTTTGGGTTCACTATTTAGATATCTTCAAGAACACGAGAGTGAATAAAGTAATTGCAAAGCTCCTGGTATCTCATGCCAACTGGTCTGAAAGGTCTAATACTGTACAGTATTTTAAGACCCCAATTAAGTCTATGTGTATGTTACACCAACTTTCACTTTAGTTGAGAAATATGCCGGAAGTTATTATTATTATTAACATCTTTATTGACAAAATTAATTACAATTTTGCCTAATCTGAGGATTTCAATTAAGTCTTATTAAGGTGAGGATAATGCAGGTATTCACTGTCACACAGGACAGAGGGTCATCCACAAGACAATAGGTCTAAACTGTAGGCTGAAGCACATATACTAGCATATCGCTATGCTCGATATAATGGGCTGAGGAGCAATGCATCACATTGGTAAACATATGATGGTTAAGACAAACAAATCTCAAAAAATTATATCACTGCATACCATACTGATAATATTACGATTATAACACCATCGTGTTTAGTGACGTATTGTCAACTATAGCGACGGACTAAACCCTAGTCTGTCACTTTATCCACCATTGTCAAAAAAGTAATATTTCTTGGGTTCTTAACAAATAGCTACCCTGAACTACAAAGCAAATTATATTCGGTAGAGAAGGTGACTGGAAATGGAGCGAGCCTTGATCTGGCGACGGGTTTTCTGTCTCTCTGGTTTTTACCCTCTCTCCTCTCTTGTCGAACCACTTGGGTTGGACGGTAGAACGACTGTCTCGCTTCATGCAGGTCGGTGTTCAATCCCCGACCGTCCAAGTGGTTGGGCACCATTCCTTCCCAACCGTCCCATCCCAAATCCTTATCCTGACCCCTTCCAAGTGCTATATAGTCGAAATGGCTTGGCGTTTTCCCTTGAAAATTCTCTTGCCTTCCTCTCTTGTCCTTCTTCCTGGCCCCTGCCCCTCCCTTTTCTGGTTCCGTAAGGAACTAGGAGAACTTAAGTGCGAGACGCCACAACCCTTCCTCATCACACACAGAGATCACACTAACGTGATGCATCAAATGAACAAATCCACAAGGGCCGTGACGAGGATTCGAACCTGCGTCCGGGAGCATCCCAGACACTGCCTTAATCGACTGAGCTACGACAGGGTAAAAGGGTTGAAACCGAAGTTCTACTGAACTTACTGGATCCCGTAGCCTCTCCGAGGCACAAACCAGGATTTTACACAACCCCCCCCTGCACCCGAGCTATGTCAATAGGCCGTTCTCCCTCTTCGCCCTTACATCACACACATCACCTTACATCACCTTTTACCCTGTCGTAGCTCAGGCCCTTGTGGATTTGTTCACCCTTCCTCATGCTGTATTCTGCTTTCCCCATCAAAATAACAACACCCAACAAACCAATAACCGCATGCCTCTCTTAGACCACCATTTGTATACACCTGCACTATCCGCAATAACGTATTTTTTTTACCCTTTTAGTCTTAATAACAAAAACCTGAGACGGGGAAGCTTGAGAAACAATGAAGCAGATATGACAGCAGCGAGTGAGCGATATTTGGTGGACTGCTAGCAAGAACTCGCCATATCAGCATCAGGTAAGATAACCTACCCATCACCCACAAGTTTAGACCCCAAGATTAAAATAAGTGTGGGAATACGGAGATTAGAAATATAAGGTCATAAAGTAGTGTGACAAAATATTCCTTAAATCGTTTGCTGCTTGGGGGGAGATTCAGCGTCGCGAAATGTGATGCCACCCACTTCACCTCTGCCAAGTGCAGAGATAACGTCTAGATGGTTCCTGGATACAAAGATATTGGACGAGATATCTATCGACCGAGGATATATATACACACACATCCCAGGTCGATAGATATCGACCTGATATTGAAATCATGGTTATCCTAGACTCCGAAGAGCCTACTCCTTCGTCCTTTATAACTATAGAAGGGGGTGAAAGATCTGGGAAGATCTCACAATAAGTTTAATAGGCTGGCCAAACCACACACTAGAAAGTGAAGGGACGACGACGTTTCGGTCCGTCCTGGACCATTCTCAAGTCGATTGTGAGAATGGTCCAGGACGGACCGAAACGTCATCGTCCCTTCACTTTCTAATGTGGTTTGGTCAACATATTTCAGCCACGTTATTGTGACTCCTCGTCTGCAAGTTTAATAGGCTGTCTGTCTCTGATTATGGGAGACCACTAAACCTTTCGCACTTGGAGCTGTTGATAATTACTTCCTTGGCGATCAGTCTCACATGACCAGCATTATCTTGTCGATAGTGTATTCTTGTCATAAATATTACTTTGTTATTACGTTATACTGTTATGAAATATTACTTTCTCCCACAACTTTTATTGGCGTTGTTCTCTTATTTCTCAAATAAATCTTTTCTCGTTTTCGAATTCAGCATTACAATTATTTGTATTTAGTCCTCACTTGGTTAATTTCCTTACCATATTCTCCACATCATCCGTAAAAGTTCTGAACAATATTCTCAATACATACTATAAACTAAAAATACTAAAAACCTTAAGAATTCGTTCGCTGTTCGCCGGGAAAAACGTACATACGTACATGTCAAATTTTGAGAGGCTGAGTCATACTGCTGCATAGCCTACTGTAGTTGTATGGCCTACTGTAGTTGTATGGCCTAATGTAGTCGTTTGGATCAATGAAGATCCTTTCCACTACACACCACCTAATTGCTTTAATGCTAACAAATTATTTTTCTAATCTACATTCGAAACGCCAAAAACATTTCACTAACCCATTATTGATGCAAATAAATAATGCCTTATATCAACAAACATGGAGACATACCATCTGTTGAAATATTCAATACACACAACGGCGCAATGCGATAGAGACCATTAAAAAAATGATCATCTCAATTGGTGTCAAGCCGTCAGAGAATGTAATGTCTAAATTTGTTATAAAGCAGCCCTGGCCATTACCTAAATTGTAGACAACACGTTTCAATAACATGAATGAAGCAACTCAAGCCACACGGAAGTGCAGAAACCTTCCAAATAAACAAAAAAAGACATTTCAGTCCGTCCTGGAGTCTTCACCTCAACTCCTTTCTTGCCTTATTTTGACCACCTCTCCCACTCCTCTCGGGGTTACGGGCTATTCATGCCCGTGCCACCTCTTGGGTCAACCCGTCCTCTTAAAAATAGCGTCACTTTTCGCTCGTATGCGCGCTATGGCCAAATTTGGACGTAATTTGAAATGAAATTGACTCACAAAAGTGATGTACTGTTCCGTTTTCTGTTTGAGTCATCCGGCTTACTCGGCAAGATTAGAAGAGGCAACTTTCCATTAACGTTTTTCATACCGTTTTGAAACTTTATGAGAATTTCCTGCCCACCTAACCTATCAGAGGACCCTTAACTTACTGTTGTTGAAAAAAAAAATCCCAAATTTATTTTCATTTTTAAATTACGTCCATATTCGGCAATACGGGTAAACGGCCAAAAGCGACGTTCTTTTTAAGAGGACAGGTTGACAGCTTAATCTTCATCCATCAATCAAACACTCCTCCAGTCACAATTTGATAGGGATCCACGATGGAGCGAAACGTTGTTAATTTGGTTTCATATTTGGGGGTTGAGTTATCCCCTAAAATCTTCAAGATTCTACTGATCACTAGATTTATTGAATTTTGGTATAAATCATCATATTTGAACAACTTCGGCGGCTCGCAATATATATTTGAATGATTACAGGAGATTTTATACTACATGTTGGAATTATTCACTGGGTACATGATCAATCAGGGTATTGGTGTTGGTAGTTCGCAAATCAATGTTGGGTCCCTTAGCCTAGCTGATGAGGAATATTTCTGAAGAACTTAAATATACTCCTGTTTGTGCTTGTCATTACGTAATAACTTCATAATTTCCGTAGTGAAGGAATTCTTTTTTTGCGACGTTTTCAAGAAGCAAGATTTTCACATTTTTATACCACTTCGGTTATTGTTAACACTTCGGGTTATTGTCCCCGGAAGACGCAATTTGCTGTAATGTGAATCTTAGTATCAAACACACCACACCTCCTTATACACGTTGACCAAACCACACACTAGAAAGTGAAGGGACGACGACGTTTCGGTCCGTCCTGGACCATTCTCAAGTCGATTGTGAGAATGTTATGTTATGACTTGTTAATACTCCAGGAGGGATCGAAACATCGTCACCTTCATGTCATATATGTGGGTTGGGCTACTGTTCAACCACGCTGCTTCTATGGCTTATTCTCCGCGAAATACACAAGAAAACATATCGTGGATACGAGGAGATGATCAGAGCGAAGGACCTTGCTCCAGTGTACGGTAGGCGGCGGTAGGGGACCTGCAGAGCTCATCCATAACCAAGCCTTCCAGGAGAAGCTGCAGCCAACGCGACAGTATGGAGCCGACCACTGTCCTACTTTGCTTGGCTCACTCACCACTGACTTTCCCCCCCGCCCTTCCCCTCTCCCCCAAACCTCCATTCGTCCCCACCCTTCCGTATTTTGGCTTGAGAGTAACCCCTCCCCCCACCTAAGAACATAAGAATTAGGAAACTACACAAGGCCCATACGAGACAGTTCATCTCATATTTTACCTTAAGCCATCTCAAGGTATCTATAAAAACGACACTTTAACTAACCAATTACGCAGTACTGATATAAAGAGTCTACCCTGATATAAGTGCATGTACTCAAACCACAAACATACTCCTAGTTAACTCGAATACATAATTTTGAACAAATACAGATTTATATTTCAACAATTCCAGAAGCCTAGTATGGGTTGACGCCTATGTAACTAGATCGTTAGCATGATTGACAGGCGCCTATTTGAAGCGGTTTTACCCGTTAGCGGACAAATTACCTAACCATTCGAAGACGATGGTTTCTGTCCAAGAAGGCGACCAAACTAAGGTTTTTGAAATATCAGTAGTTTATTACACCTGGAAACTACTGATGGAACTTGTTTCAAGTTTGCACACTGATACATTTCGTAAAGAGGAGGCACCATACAATATGGCAAATAGACTAGTATACTGTATTTGTGAGTAGAACTTAAATGGTGCCCAAGCAAATATATCCCGTTAACTATGACCCGCAAGATGATTCGAACCCCGGCCAATAGGGGTCTCCCCATCAACAGCACTGGTATTCTGACCACTGCCCCAACAATTGTCTATACGATTGCTGGTATCGTGCAAAAACAATGCAACTTAGGATTCAACTGAATCCTCTAAGAGTCCTAGGGACTCTGGCTGTGGTCTACCTCCAACGCTTATCTTCAAATGCACAAAGTAATCACATTAACGTGATGAATCCACGAGAAAATCCCAGGTTGCATTGGTTTTGAGCATGCTGTGGCTGAGTTGGTTTGGGCGTATATCTGGGAGTACCCAGTGCGGCTTCTACTGATAATCTACTTGATACATCATGTTAATGTCATTGCTTTGTGCATTTGGGAGGAATGAGGGAGATATGGGAGGAGTGAGGGAGGTATGAGGAGTGAGGGAAGTATGAGGAGTGAGGGAAGTATGAGGAGTGAGGGAGGTATTGGAGGTAAGGGAGGTGAGGAGAGTGAGGGATGCATGATAGAGGGGGCGGGAAGAGGCTGGGAATATATTGGCGAGACATGAAACCGGCGAAGGAATATCAACAGCGAGGAACACACATGTATACTAGGCTTGGAGGAGAGCCCCACAAAACAGTACCGCAATAGCTGGGAGCGTGTGAACGCGAGCAAAGCGTGCTCGTTCACACAAACACCGGCCATCACATTACTTCATTCGCAACCAGTTAATGGGATAGATATTGACTTATTCTCTACAAGACAAAAGCTGGATAAGAAGGGATCAGGGGGGTTATGGAGAGGTAACAAGAAAGCATATAACTGGGAAAATAAGGCATGAACTGAAGAAGATAACGAGAAAAAATCATATCGGAGCAACACGATGAAATCGAATGTAACTGGTGTGACCCAAAAGCTCAAATCCACCGCATTGCTCCGCACGGTGTTAGATACATGACGCTACTGCAGACGAGGAGTCACAATAACATGGCTGAAGTATGTTGACCAGACCACACACTAGAAGGTGAAGGGACGACGACGTTTCAATCCGTCCTGGACCATTCTCACAATCGACTTGAGAATGATCCAGGACGGACCGAAACGTCGTCGTCCCTTCACCTACTGTTACTTGACTGAGGCAGGCAGGTGGTGGTGGTGATACTCACGGAAGGGGTTGTGACGGCGACGTGTGCTGAGGGTCTCGTACCCAGCCACGTCTGTGTTGCTGGAATAGATGGGCATTGTTTTAGCGCCAAGGTTAATCCACACAGCTGAAGCGCTTCCTATTGCACATTGTTTCCGTTGCACAGGACGGCCGTGGCGCCGCTTATTGGACACTGTTTACACTAAGGTAACACACACAAGCACCATTTATTGGACAGTTTTAGCGTTCCACTGCATGGATGAGGAGGGGAAACTATTAGGCACTGTTTTAATTTCAGTGTAACTTGTGTATTAGTGTTTACATGGCATGGCGACTGACATGGTTGACGCCCCGTCACGCCCGGCCCCACCACTGCACTCTCATCACTCACCGATAACAACCTGTCTTCCTGTCTATCGAGTGAATATCAGCAATGTCGTAGAGCTGCTTCAAGAGACCGGTCCGCTCATGAACATCACAGCCATGCACGTCACTGTATAGTATTCTGTCATTTTTCTTCATTTTGCTTGAAAGAGAACGCACCGGTGCTGCTGATCCTAGCAACAAAACCCGTGATAATGTAAAGGTATTTTCTGTCCATGTGACGGCTACGGCTCTTGGAGCACAGAGTGACTGCCTTAGTCACTGTAAGTCAATTTTGATTAGTTTATCAGCGTCTCCTTCACGTACCAACCGTGTACAATGCAGCACTCACTGCCGTGTTAACAAACGGCTCCCAGCGGTTCATCTTGGTTCCAGGGAGCGTATCAGGTGAGCAGTTGGTTCAGAAACCTAACACGACAAGCGGCAGATTTCTTTGTAGCACTCAAAAAGACTTTAAGCCTGGTTGATGCCCAGTTGCCACGAGAGGAGGCGGGGCTAGGCGCCTCCACAACCCGCCAGTCAAGTGTTTGGTAAGGCCATCTCTAGCACCTTGCAGAGTGTGAGACGTGCACCTGCACCATGGCTCTGGTTGACGACACGTCAACGACATAAGGCTTGGCGGCCACCTTGACTGCGTGCTGGAGGTGGCATGTGTGTGTGTGCCGACCAGCCAGCCAGCCAGCCAGTCCTACCACAACACTCTACGCTCACATCATGCCAGGTTTTCCACCCCGGTCACACATCACTAGGCTGTGCTGAGAGCAACGGCAGCCAGGCCGACAGGAGACAAAACGGAGGCTCAGGAGAGGAAGGCTGTTGCAGCAGCAGCAGCAGCGACAGCGTGTTTAGTCCCACACTACACACCATTGATCTGTGCCTGGCAGCGGCGCTCTTACACGGCCCTCTCCCTCCGGGGCGTGCCGCCCCCCAGGGCTCGGCCCCACGATGCCCTCTTCCTGCCCTCACTACTCATGTAAACATGCCCCCCACGGGGGAAGGAGGAGGATTCCCCTGTTATGAGGGAGTAGGGAGTCTACGGAACACAGCACAACCCGACATTGTGAATGAGGCGACGTGCCACTCTCCCTCCCCCTTGCTATCGATCACCACGCTCCCCCACACCCTCAACTCCCCCCCCCTCTCTCTCCCCCCCCTTTCTCCAGCAACACCAAACACCCTACACACCTTACACGCACAGACGCACGCAAAAACGCAGGAACACACCTTCGCGCAAACAGCCAACAGCTGGAGATTAACTCTAAAACAGCAATACCATAGGTGAACAAACCCCCCACCCCCCTACTCCCCCCCCCCCCCCCCCCCCCCCCCACACACACACACACACACACACACACACACACACACACACACACACACACACACGCCCAGGTAGACGTATATGATAAATCTCTCCATAACCGCCCAGAAAGACAGTTTCAAAAACACACTTCCATTACTCACACCACACAAACAAGTTAAGGTCACAACACACACATTAACTAACACAGTTGTATTGCTATTGTTTTTCCTTATACACCACCACTATTATTATTATTATTATTATTATTATTATTATTATTATTATTATTACTACTTTCATCCAAGTATTAGGATTATAGATATTAAGTTAATAAGACGGGAAATATACAAAAACATTATGTAAGATTAGTGTAGATACACCAAGGTGTGGCCTGCTTCTTGGTGTAGATACACCAAGGTGTGGCCTGCTTCTTGGTGTAGATACACCAAGGTGTGGCCTGCTTCTTGGTGTAGATACACCAAGGTGTGGCCTGCTTCTTGGTGTAGATACACCAAGGTGTAGCCTGCTTCTTGGTGTAGATACACCAAGGTGTGGCCTGCTTCTTGGTGTAGATACACCAAGGTGTAGCCTGCTTCTTGGTGTAGATACACCAAGGTGTGGCCTGCTTCTTGGTGTAGATACACCAAGGTGTGGCCTGCTTCTTGGTGTAGATACACCAAGGTGTAGCCTGCTTCTTGGTGTAGATACACCAAGGTGTGGCCTGCTTCTTGGTGTAGATACACCAAGGTGTGGCCTGCTTCTTGGTGTAGATACACCAAGGTGTAGCCTGCTTCTTGGTGTAGATACACCAAGGTGTTCCCTGCTTCTTGGTGTAGATACACCAAGGTGTAGCCTGCTTCTTGGTGTAGATACACCAAGGTGTAGCCTGCTTCTTGGTGTAGATACACCAAGGTGTGGCCTGCTTCTTGGTGTAGATACACCAAGGTGTAGCCTGCTTCTTGGTGTAGATACACCAAGGTGTGGCCTGCTTCTTGGTGTAGATACACCAAGGTGTGGCCTGCTTCTTGGTGTAGATACACCAAGGTGTAGCCTGCTTCTTGGTGTAGATACACCAAGGTGTGGCCTGCTTCTTGGTGTAGATACACCAAGGTGTAGCCTGCTTCTTGGTGTAGATACACCAAGGTGTGGCCTGCTTCTTGGTGTAGATACACCAAGGTGTGGCCTGCTTCTTGGTGTAGATACACCAAGGTGTGGCCTGCTTCTTGGTGTAGATACACCAAGGTGTTCCCTACTTCTTGGTGTAGATACACCAAGGTGTGGCCTGCTTCTTGGTGTAGATACACCAAGGTGTAGCCTGCTTCTTGGTGTAGATACACCAAGGTGTAGCCTGCTTCTTGGTGTAGATACACCAAGGTGTAGCCTGCTTCTTGGTGTAGATACACCAAGGTGTAGCCTGCTTCTTGGTGTAGATACACCAAGGTGTGGCCTGCTTCTTGGTGTAGATACACCAAGGTGTAGCCTGCTTCTTGGTGTAGATACACCAAGGTGTAGCCTGCTTCTTGGTGTAGATACACCAAGGTGTGGCCTGCTTCTTGGTGTAGATACACCAAGGTGTAGCCTGCTTCTTGGTGTAGATACACCAAGGTGTGGCCTGCTTCTTGGTGTAGATACACCAAGGTGTGGCCTGCTTCTTGGTGTAGATACACCAAGGTGTAGCCTGCTTCTTGGTGTAGATACACCAAGGTGTAGCCTGCTTCTTGGTGTAGATACACCAAGGTGTGGCCTGCTTCTTGGTGTAGATACACCAAGGTGTAGCCTGCTTCTTGGTGTAGATACACCAAGGTGTAGCCTGCTTCTTGGTGTAGATACACCAAGGTGTGGCCTGCTTCTTGGTGTAGATACACCAAGGTGTAGCCTGCTTCTTGGTGTAGATACACCAAGGTGTGGCCTGCTTCTTGGTGTAGATACACCAAGGTGTGGCCTGCTTCTTGGTGTAGATACACCAAGGTGTAGCCTGCTTCTTGGTGTAGATACACCAAGGTGTAGCCTGCTTCTTGGTGTAGATACACCAAGGTGTGGCCTGCTTCTTGGTGTAGATACACCAAGGTGTAGCCTGCTTCTTGGTGTAGATACACCAAGGTGTGGCCTGCTTCTTGGTGTAGATACACCAAGGTGTGGCCTGCTTCTTGGTGTAGATACACCAAGGTGTAGCCTGCTTCTTGGTGTAGATACACCAAGGTGTGGCCTGCTTCTTGGTGTAGATACACCAAGGTGTAGCCTGCTTCTTGGTGTAGATACACCAAGGTGTGGCCTGCTTCTTGGTGTAGATACACCAAGGTGTTCCCTACTTCTTGGTGTAGATACACCAAGGTGTTCCCTGCTTCTTGGTGTAGATACACCAAGGTGTGGCCTGCTTCTTGGTGTAGATACACCAAGGTGTAGCCTGCTTCTTGGTGTAGATACACCAAGGTGTAGCCTGCTTCTTGGTGTAGATACACCAAGGTGTAGCCTGCTTCTTGGTGTAGATACACCAAGGTGTAGCCTGCTTCTTGGTGTAGATACACCAAGGTGTGGCCTGCTTCTTGGTGTAGATACACCAAGGTGTAGCCTGCTTCTTGGTGTAGATACACCAAGGTGTGGCCTGCTTCTTGGTGTAGATACACCAAGGTGTGGCCTGCTTCTTGGTGTAGATACACCAAGGTGTAGCCTGCTTCTTGGTGTAGATACACCAAGGTGTAGCCTGCTTCTTGGTGTAGATACACCAAGGTGTGGCCTGCTTCTTGGTGTAGATACACCAAGGTGTAGCCTGCTTCTTGGTGTAGATACACCAAGGTGTAGCCTGCTTCTTGGTGTAGATACACCAAGGTGTGGCCTGCTTCTTGGTGTAGATACACCAAGGTGTAGCCTGCTTCTTGGTGTAGATACACCAAGGTGTAGCCTGCTTCTTGGTGTAGATACACCAAGGTGTGGCCTGCTTCTTGGTGTAGATACACCAAGGTGTAGCCTGCTTCTTGGTGTAGATACACCAAGGTGTAGCCTGCTTCTTGGTGTAGATACACCAAGGTGTAGCCTGCTTCTTGGTGTAGATACACCAAGGTGTAGCCTGCTTCTTGGTGTAGATACACCAAGGTGTGGCCTGCTTCTTGGTGTAGATACACCAAGGTGTAGCCTGCTTCTTGGTGTAGATACACCAAGGTGTGGCCTGCTTCTTGGTGTAGATACACCAAGGTGTAGCCTGCTTCTTGGTGTAGATACACCAAGGTGTAGCCTGCTTCTTGGTGTAGATACACCAAGGTGTGGCCTGCTTCTTGGTGTAGATACACCAAGGTGTAGCCTGCTTCTTGGTGTAGATACACCAAGGTGTAGCCTGCTTCTTGGTGTAGATACACCAAGGTGTAGCCTGCTTCTTGGTGTAGATACACCAAGGTGTAGCCTGCTTCTTGGTGTAGATACACCAAGGTGTAGCCTGCTTCTTGGTGTAGATACACCAAGGTGTAGCCTGCTTCTTGGTGTAGATACACCAAGGTGTAGCCTGCTTCTTGGTGTAGATACACCAAGGTGTAGCCTGCTTCTTGGTGTAGATACACCAAGGTGTGGCCTGCTTCTTGGTGTAGATACACCAAGGTGTAGCCTGCTTCTTGGTGTAGATACACCAAGGTGTAGCCTGCTTCTTGGTGTAGATACACCAAGGTGTGGCCTGCTTCTTGGTGTAGATACACCAAGGTGTAGCCTGCTTCTTGGTGTAGATACACCAAGGTGTGGCCTGCTTCTTGGTGTAGATACACCAAGGTGTGGCCTGCTTCTTGGTGTAGATACACCAAGGTGTAGCCTGCTTCTTGGTGTAGATACACCAAGGTGTGGCCTGCTTCTTGGTGTAGATACACCAAGGTGTGGCCTGCTTCTTGGTGTAGATACACCAAGGTGTAGCCTGCTTCTTGGTGTAGATACACCAAGGTGTAGCCTGCTTCTTGGTGTAGATACACCAAGGTGTAGCCTGCTTCTTGGTGTAGATACACCAAGGTGTAGCCTGCTTCTTGGTGTAGATACACCAAGGTGTAGCCTGCTTCTTGGTGTAGATACACCAAGGTGTGGCCTGCTTCTTGGTGTAGATACACCAAGGTGTGGCCTGCTTCTTGGTGTAGATACACCAAGGTGTGGCCTGCTTCTTGGTGTAGATACACCAAGGTGTAGCCTGCTTCTTGGTGTAGATACACCAAGGTGTAGCCTGCTTCTTGGTGTAGATACACCAAGGTGTAGCCTGCTTCTTGGTGTAGATACACCAAGGTGTAGCCTGCTTCTTGGTGTAGATACACCAAGGTGTGGCCTGCTTCTTGGTGTAGATACACCAAGGTGTAGCCTGCTTCTTGGTGTAGATACACCAAGGTGTAGCCTGCTTCTTGGTGTAGATACACCAAGGTGTAGCCTGCTTCTTGGTGTAGATACACCAAGGTGTGGCCTGCTTCTTGGTGTAGATACACCAAGGTGTAGCCTGCTTCTTGGTGTAGATACACCAAGGTGTAGCCTGCTTCTTGGTGTAGATACACCAAGGTGTGGCCTGCTTCTTGGTGTAGATACACCAAGGTGTGGCCTGCTTCTTGGTGTAGATACACCAAGGTGTAGCCTGCTTCTTGGTGTAGATACACCAAGCCTGCTTCTTGGTGTAGATACACCCTGCTTCTTGGTGTAGATACACCAAGGTGTGGCCTGCTTCTTGGTGTAGATACACCAAGGTGTGGCCTGCTTCTTGGTGT